GTTTATTCGGGACTAAAGGCTGTCCAGTAGAAACGATTTGTGTGTGTGCTTTCCGGCACGTGCGAACTAAACACTCCTCATCAGTACTTCTTATCTCTCGAATAAAGGTCAAAATCTTAAAAGACGCAGTTCAAAGTCTACAACCGGACGTGGCTGCCTTGGAAAGAGCCACAGATGACCTGCTTCGTGCCTTCCCTCCATTCACGGACCTCTCCGACTATAAAAACCGAGCAATGGATGTGCGCGAGAGGTATGACCGTCTTACTAGTGTCCTCAGCACACGTGCCTCACTCCTTCGGGACGTCGAAGGTCCCGGTGCTGACCTCCACACTCGTCTGCAGACATTGTCCAACGAACTGCATGACCTGGGACAAACTTTCAATCGGTAATTCTGCACCTACTTTCTTCTTCCTCCTCCTTCAATACTCTAGCGAAAATATGATATATAACTTTCTGTGTTCTTTTTTTCGTTATTTCTCCAGTCTCCCAACAAATCCGACACCAGATGAATTGAGGGAATACAAGCGCAAGCTTGATGTCTGTAGGTCTCAATTCGATGAGGCCATCCAACTTGGCGACCGGATCTGTCAGGAAGTCAAGGATCCAGCCGCTCATTCCGACATCAGGAGAAGTGTAAGTTTTGCGGACGCAGCATGCCCATTTTGAAGACTTCTTTTCCTCTTGACTGTAAAATCGCAGTCCCTATTGCGAGTCTTCCCCCCCCCCTCCCTATTAGAATTAACGGTGGGCGATTTTTGAGCTTGAGTCGAGAGAAAACGCTTTTTTCTGCAATTTCCTACCTCCACTCTCACAACCAGTCACAGTCAAATTTTCATGTAACCAGTAAGAAGTGAAAATGCGAGTCCCAGGAAGTTATTGAAAAGAAGAAGATGCGATCGCTGGGATAAGACTTTCATTCGCCTAACGTTTCATCAGGGACATTAGTATAAACAGTAGCAGAAAAGGGTTAATCATACGCTTGTTTTAGCCAAATTGAGCCTCAGCACCGAATGTGGATTGGTCTGGTCGTTGCGCTTATTCATAGACTGGGGTCCATGTGAGCCGCGAGTTGCTTGAATGTCACAATCGTGTGAGCCATGAATTACTTGAGTCATGTTTC